AAAAAGGGGTTCTCTTTGGATAACATCACACGGCTGCCTTATCCTGTCTTTTTACACTTGTACTTTTTACACAGGTTCTAGGACTACCTGGGAATGGAAGTATATATGTATGCATGTGTCTATGCATATGTATACAAGTTGATTGGGAGTGATGTATATATATTTCTATGTATATATATGACTTAATTGAGAGTGGTGTTTATCTGTTTACTGTGGTACAAAGCCTAAATGCTAAGCATTAATGTTAGGGGACAAAGAAGGCCTGTCAGGCTGGAGGAGAGAGACAGTACTGCCTCTTGTTTTGAGCATTAGCTACTGATGTGGTGCATAGTTACCTCACTATGCGTTTCTTGGCCACTTCTAACTTTGTTATCCACTGAAATGCTGCCAAATACGCAGAAATGTCAGTATCTTTGGGAGCTGGCTCTGTGCATTAGAGAAATTCCAGATGTAGAGGGAATGCAGTTGTGGTCACAAAAAAGTAGTGGCATAGTTAAAGGACAAAGCCAGAACTTACAGGTTTGCCGTCTTAGAGACTTGCTGTAAGAAAGTTCTTTTTTTTTTTTTTCCCCCTCTCTTCTGACCTTCCCTGCACTGGGCAATATCAACTCTTTTCCCCCAGAATAGCTTTATCAGGTATGGGCTGTGAGCTGATTTAGAAGTAGCCATTCAAGTGCAATAGAAAGATCCCTGAAACTGAGTGGGTAGGTAGGTGCTTTCATGATGTAGGCTGAGGATGGAATAACCAGAGCTGCTTCCTGGGATGCAATCTTCAGTAGTGGTTTGCAGGCTTCATTATCTTCTTTACCTTTTACTCTGAACTAATGTTTTAACTTGTTCAGGGGAATAGCAAGCGTGCTTCTAATGTTTGCCTTGTATTAGCTTTAATTTTCCATACACCAAACCGCAGTGTTTCTATTTGTGATGTTAAACAGCTTGCAGTGCTGTCTCCTACTAGAAGGGACAAAAGGTACAGCAATAGGAAAGCAAGCTAGATCAAGTGAGGATTGCATCTGCGGGGTACTGGATCACACCAACATTGCTGTCACCAGGCTAATGTGCCCTTCATCCTCCTGGTCTCGCTGGCATGTCCCCAGCCTGTCATTGCCATCACATTCCTATTCAGTTTGGAGCAACCTGGGATTACCTGCAGTAATCAGACATGATTACCTCTGGCCCCCATGGTTTCCTTTCCTTGGACAGCATTTGCAGGGGTGACTTCTTCTCAGATAGGACCATTAAAGCACCAAAATATTTCAAACAAGTGCATTAAAAAAAATGACTTCAAGTAGCCCTTGTTCTTGCCTGCATCCCGCTAAAGCTTGCTGCTCTTGGAAAGTGCC